ATTTGAAAACATTAACGTCTACAGTTATGACATGAGTCATATTTCTTTGACTTCAGAAATATGGAGTGATGTACCTTACAGCTATTTAACCAATAAGCTTTGAGGTCACTTTGACAGTTCAGTTGCCAAAAGGCCAAAAATTACATTCTTGGTAATCATTTAGTATCGGCCTCGTAATCATTGATGGGCGTAGATGCGGTAAATCTGGGTTTCGGAACACTTTTTTCATTCCACCAAGATGATGTGGTCGTCTGTTAAAAAACTTGAAATGTGCTCAAAGACAGTTAGATGGCAGCATACAGCAAATCCGCTTATCACACAAATTGTGATTACCATCATGGCTTCTTATGACATATGATCTTTTAAGCCAAGTGGGCTGGAGCCACTACACAAACTTCCTAGCAAGTGGGAAACTGTTGCTTACTGGGAGGATGAGGCAGCAGGCAGGTTGGTGTGGTGCAAACACACGGCAGGAGCTCGAGATTGGCTCCACCAGTGCATTTTCACTGTGCTGACCTCCCTGCCTTTTCACCTCTCTCCTTCCTGGTAGCAACAGTGCCCCATCTGCTGGAAAGCTAGTTGTAGCAGCTCCCCAAACACACACACACAACTGACAAGCCACTTCTGGTCCCAGCATTCTTAGTTCCTGCCTGTGTTTTCAGTTTGCTTGCAGAAGTCAACAGAGAGGCCAGTTTGCACCACGATACTCCTGGTTTCTCTTCCACCCTTTTCAATGTCCCATTCCCCCCCCCAAAAAAAAATAGCTTCAGAAGATCTCCCAACCCTCTGGAGAATATTGTGGGGTAGGAGGGGGCTGTAGGGAAAGCAGAAGAAGAATAAACCCCGTTGCATCAGATGTCACGCCTTTTAACTAGTTGGGAATAGAAACATTAACAACTCCAGGTAAATTTAAAGGCTGCTTACTCTTAAGAGGGCCTTCGCAGTGGCTGCTCCCAGATTCTCGAAATCCCACTCTGCAAAAGCTAGAATGGCTCCCTCCTTGCTGGTCCTTCCACTGGCAGGTGAAGACTTCCTTGTTCCAACAGGCATTTGGGAATTGACCGGTTTTAATGAAAAAGCTGGTGCCATGCTGTGTTTATTGTAATGTTATGTTTTAAAAAGAATTTATGCGTGTATATAGTTTTAATTGGACGCGGGTGGCGCTGTGGGTTAATGCGGCACTTGCCGATCAGAAGGTTGGCGGTTCGAATCCCCATGATGGGGTGGGCTCCTGTTGCTCAGTCCCTGCTCCTGCCAATCTAGCAGTTCGAAAGCACGTCAAAGTGCAAGTAGATAAATAGGTACCACTCCAGCGGGAAGGTAAACAGCGTTTCCGTGTGCTGCTCTGGTTTGCCAGAAGCGGCTTAGTCATGCTGGCCACATGACCTGGAAGCTGTCTGCGGACAAACGCCGGCTCCCTTGGCCTATAGAGCGAGATGAGCGTGCAACCCCAGAGTCAGTCACGACTGGACCTAATGGTCAGGGGTCCCTGTACCTTTTATAGTTTTAATTCTATCCGTGTTTGATTTTTCTGTTTTTAGCAGTTCTTTTATTTGCCTTGAGTCCCGTCAGGGAAAAAGACAGGGTATAAATAAATATAAATGAAGAAGAGGAAGAGGAAGAGGAAGAGGAAGAAGAAGAAGAAGAAGAAGAAGAAGAAGAAGAAGAAGTTACTTAACTAGAATTTTCATTAACTGTTCCTATGGTTCCATGTTACACATATTAATGAGCTTTGCCAGTAAGACCTTCTTCAGAGAAAATTGTTCAACAGCTGGGTGGACACTACAAGCTTATTCTTTTGCTTATGAAGGTGTTGTTATCCCCAGGCCCCTCTCTTTGCTTTTGCCTAGCTGTTGAGCAATTTCATTTGCAGACCCACCTTTAGGTTTGAATTATGGTATGTGTTGCAGCAACCTCTGTGTTAACCATTGCCCTACAGATACCCATCGTCTTTGCCAGCAAGGTTATCTGAGGGCAACAGCATATTCGTTACAGATAAGACTGTAATTACATAACTATGTATTTTATTTAATTATCTTCTAATAAGACTATCATTTTTGTTAAGTGAAAAAGTCAGCTTTGCAAACTTAGGCAACATATTATTCAAAATAACCACATTTCAACTCACAGCATCCAATGTTCAAGATCACAAACAGCCTTGAAGTCAGAAAACATTTCCCTTGCATTCTTTTGTCTGCTAATCTTCTGCAATATGTCCACTATCAATTCCGTAGAGACTTGCTGTTCCTCTTTGCAATTCACTTGTTCTTATAAAATTATTTAACTTTTACACCTGCCATCTGACAAAGATGTCTCCATAACAGCACCTCCACCTTTAAGAAATTGCTTTATTTCATAAAACACCCATCCTTACAGCATGCTAACTTGATAACTTTTTTGCTTGGATGCCAAGAGAAAATGTTTTCATCAATTCAGCACTCAGTCTATTCTTGCAAAGCAATTCTGACCTTTTCCCCACCCTCCCCCCAAAAACTTCACTGCAACCATTTTTTAGCCTAACAAGCATCTTATCCTCTAAATAAAAGATAGGGAAAGGTCCACTGTGCATTTTTACAACGATCAAGGAAGGCCTTGCACACTTTGGACAAGCACAAAACACTGCTTTATTAATACTAATTATTCGTAGTTATATGAACTGTGCAATGGAACACCTGGTTGTAACAGCAAACAGAAAAAATGTTCCACAGTTCTACAAAGCTGTCTGTACTCCTCCCAAATTTCTTTTCCAGAGAGATCCTGCCTGAAACATGGGAGGCTACTGGGTTTGGCAAATCTGTAATTCTTAAAAAAAAAAAAATCATCATCTCCCAATAGAAGCGGATGGTTGTTTCCTGAATTCCCTTCACCATAGTGGTTTTTAGGCCTGGCTCTAGGTTTGGGGGAATCCTCAGCAGGGATAGGAGAATCTGTCAATTTCAGTTTCTCTCAGTTCCTTGTGCTCCTCATTCTTAAGTTCAGTCCTCTATATTTCAGTTGGTGATTTTGAAAAGTCCTCATACAAATAGATCAGCATTTTAGTGCAAATTCCTCCTACATTTTTGTATGCAATTTTGCTTAACATGTGCATTTTTGCAAAGCAGTTTTCCTTGCTATAATGCATTTTCACTAATATGTGCATTTTTTTTGCACACTTTACCCTAAGATATGATTTTTTGTGCACATTACTTGGCTGAAGAACTGCGTTGCAAAATTCAGAGCAGTGAGAATTTGGGAGTGGCTGTGCTTCTGTTTCAGAGAGTGGGAATGAGGTAAGTTCATCTTTAAAGGAAAACTGAATTGAATTTCTCTGCCATCTCTAGACTCTAGCCAGTGCCTCTCCCTGCCACTCTATCGCTTGTGGGCAGACTTCTTGCCTACCTTTAATTGGCAGTGGTGCTGAGCAGAGCTCCCAGGCCACACTCAATGCCCAATATTCACCACTGCTGCCATCTGGATTATGCCAGTCCTGTCACCAACAGGTCTAAGTTGAGAACAGGCCAGAGCTGACAAAATTCAAGTATTACAGTGGTACCTCTGGTTATGAACTTAATTCTTTCCAGAGGTCCGTTCTTAGCCTGAAACCGTTCTTAACCTGAGGTACCACTTTAGCTAATAGGGCCTCCTGTTGCCGCCGCACAATTTCTGTTCTCATCCTGGGGCAAAGTTCCTAACCCGTGGTACTACTTCCAGTGTTTGTAACCTGAGATGTTTGTAACCCGAGGTACCACTGTATTATTATTATTATTATTAATAATAATAATAATAATAATAATAATAATATACCGCCTTATACCAGGAGGTCTCAGGGCGTTTCACAGAATAAAATCAAAAACTAAAACCACAAAATACATAATCAAAATAAAAACAACAACCTGATAACACACACACCCCAACGGGGCATAGGATGTCAATCAAATCAACCAAAGGCCTGGTTAAAAAGAAATGTTTTTGGCTGGTGCCTAAAGGTATATAATGAAGGCGCCAGGTAAACTTCCCTGGGGAGAGCATTCCATAGACAGAGAGCCACTGCAGACAAGGCCCATTCTCATGTTCCACCCTCCAGACCTCTCAAGGAGGAAGCCACAAAGAAGGACCTCTGATGTTGATCTAAGGGGATACAGGGCAGATCTGTGAGTGAGGAGCTCCACTACACACTGGCCCTGCCTTTCCTTGGAGACCCCTGAATTCCAACTGCAGCCAAGGACAACAGTCATACGATATCACCAATTTTCTCAGGTAGTCAAGAAGATTATCATGAATGCCAACACGCTGCCCTTACCTTTATGCAATGTAGTCAAAACAGGCAATCTTCCAGGAAAGATAATTTCAATAATAAACCTTGTGTACAAAGAGACACAAACATGCACACGTGAAGAAGACCACGGGAGAACGAAGGACGCGTTTCACCTCAACATTTCAGAATAAGACAAGGAGACACAGACCACCTATCATTGTATTTTTCAGCTGGAAATATTAGGGTTGGGCATGAGGACACTGTTGCCCTTTGGATGTTGGGTGACAAGCCCCACCAATCCATGCTGCCTGGAAATGATTGGAATAGTAGTCTTGCAACAACAGGAGGGGGCTAGGTTGGGGAAAGCTGCTTTAAAGTGTGGCATATCACATTAAGTTAAATGAAAAACAAAGCAAGGCAAAGAAATAAATATGAGAAGGTAAGCCCTTAAGAGGTCCTCGTGATCCTCATTTCACTATATTCGCTATTCCTTCCTGATGGCCCTTGTGTTTAAATATTAAAATTAAAAATTGGCCCCAAGTCAAATTTGGGGATAAATGATTGATTCAAAGTGTCTGTATATTCATTTGTACAACTGGAATGTTGTGACTCAGCAGTTGTTCTCAGCTCTAAACCTTGACAGCGGCCAAGTTCAAGTGTTTATTTAGCACTTTATTGCCCCTTGTCATTTAAAAATGAACTGCTTTGAGTTACTAGCATCCATACAGAGTTTAAGAGGTTAGCAGAGTGTTTCGTTGCTGTAACAATGCAGGACCACATTTCAAGCACAGCGGGCATCTTGACCTCTCACTTTTTGACAACTCAGCCAACTCCGAATTTTTCATATTGCTCTGCCAATGCCACGATTTGCAATGGCACATCCTGTGTGCTGTCTACTGAAGATTACAACAGAGTTTTGAGCACCATTTTAAGCACCGTCCTAACAATCTTGTTGGCAATGGTGATGTTCTCCATGGGCTGCAACGTGGAGCTGAAGAAATTTCTAGGACACATTAGAAGGCCATGGGGCATAGCCGTAGGCTTCCTCTGCCAGTTTGGAATTATGCCTCTGACTGGTTTTGTGCTGTCGTATGCCTTCAACATACTTCCTATACAAGCTGTTGTGGTGATCATCATGGGCTGCTGTCCTGGTGGAACATCTTCCAATATTTTAGCCTACTGGGTAGACGGTGACATGGACCTAAGGTAAGAGATACTGGCTTTCAACGGAATTGCCTCCTTCCCTACAGACCCTCTCAGGTGCTAATGTTGGTGGAGAGTGTCCTTTTGGTCATTCCACTGCCCTCAGAGGCTAAATAGGTTGCAGTCCAGGAGTTGGTATTCTCTGTGGCCGCCCCTAAGTTGTGTAACTTCCCAGAGGTGCAGCCGGCACCTTCATTATATAACTTTCGGTGAATGCTGAAGATACATCTGTTCCCCTTGGATTTTTACTCTTGAGATGTATATGTTTAGGATCCACCTTATTTTGTTAAGCTTAAGTTCTTTTAAGCTGATTTTCATATTGTATAGTAATGTGTTTCAATGCTAATGTTGTGTTTTCATTGTTCTAACCCATGCTGGGATGTTAGGGGGAAGGACAGGTAATGGAATAAATTTAATAAAGATGATGATGATGATGATGTGCAGATACCTGGAACAGGAATAGCCCCTAGGGTATCTCACTCAGATCCTTCCCTGAATTATAGTGCCAACTCTGTATACATTAATTACTGAAAAATTATTGTGGCATGAAGCCACACAATCCAGAAAGCTGCTTCGAACTTGCCTGCATCTTGGCTCCATAGAACAACAAACCTTGATGCCACACAGCAAACTTACGCTGAACTTCCCAGAAGGGAGAAACCCATACAAAGCTGCTGGATGTATAGAGCTACTAATAAGGTTATCTGGATTGTGTCTGTTGGTGATGAACGATTGCATGCTAGTCCATCAGTAAACATATTTTGGGTTGGTATTATCTACTCAGGCTGCTATTCCAGGCTCATCTGCAAAGTTATTGACTCTAACGCCACAGAGCAGCAAGGGCAGATAGAGAAGTATGCTTGGTGGCTATTCCATTTGACCTCAGCCTGACTTTGAAATAACAGGAGAACCCACTACAGTAGTAGTAGTAGTAGTAGCAGCAGCAATTAACAATAGATCCTACTGCCATTTGGAGCACACATTTCCCCATCTAAAGTTTTTTTTCCAAATTAGTATTTGTCCTGGTGTTTATCTGATGGGGCAAAAAGCCCAAAGCAAAAAGGGGCAATGTCCATTAGGAAAATGGCAGGGGGGTGAGAATGGTAAGTCACTCTTTCCCCCAGTACTGCTGCCTTGATCTGATTCAGCACCCCCTGAGACTGTTTGGAGTTTTTTATTGGGGGGAGGGGTGCAGCAGATCACATGGCATGCCTCCCAGTGTCTTGAGTAACTTGGCTCTGAAAGAACTGTTCCACCACCCTAAAATGCTAGGCATATCCTTCATGAGACGAACCATCCCATCAAGGCTATCACCTCCACACCTTGCTTGAGAGCTTCCAGCAGCATCTGACTGGCTGCTTTGAATCAAATAACTTTAGATTAGGAAGAGACCTCGAAAGTCTTGTAGTAACACACACACACATCCCGGCTCAGTTTCACATCAGTGATGCAGGTCTCTTTCAGCAGAGGCTGATCAGCCACTATCAGAGATGCAGTGCTAGCATCCCTGAGTGACAGCGGCTGACTAGACTCTGCTTAAATGCCTGCAGTGAAGGAGAGCTTCTGTTCCACTGCTGAACAGTTCCTATCCTTGGGACATTTCTCCGAATGTTTAGTTGAGATCTGCTTCCTGGCCATTTCCACCTATGCATTCTAGTCCTGCCCTCTGTGGCAACAGATAGCAATCCTGCTCCATCTTTTCTGCATGGCAGCCCTTTCAATATTTGAAGACAGCCAGAATATATGAGGATGTTGTTGTTTTTAATCTCATGTGGCACAACTCTTCCATTCTGCATCAGGGCCCATCCTAATACACACATTTGTCTCAAACCTGCTGGACTACCAAGTTGCCTTTGAAACTCCGGTGCTCAGACAGGACATTTAAAAGCAAAGCAAAACACTATACGGTGCAAATATTCATCCCACTCCAGAGATCCTCAGACCCACAAGGGTTGTTTCATAGGTGATCCACAGTGCCGGATGGCTTGCCAGGGAGAAAGGTCTTCCATATGGAATGCATATGGAGAAACATACAAACTTATGCCTGCAATAACATGTTGCTAGAGCTTGTCTTTTGTCTCCCACACATCCCTTGTGTTTTCTGCACCAGGGCAAAGGAGTTTCCCTGGAATACTTTTGTAATAAAAATCTGTACCCACTTCCAACATCAATGGAGAACAGGAATAAATTCCTTCTTTTTTTCCCAAGTCTGGCAAAAGACTAAATTGGCCTGTTTTTAAATAATGCCATATTTAAACACTTTCTGTGATACTATAATCTCTGCACAGAAGTAAATTCTATTGTTTTCAGTGGGTCTTATTCCCAGGTAGGTGTGCTTAAAGACTTTTGGCCACCATCTTTAAACTTCAATTCTGGCATTTACCAGTTTTGACTTTTCTTTGTAGCCAAGAATTTAATTTTCTCAGGACCAAAGGCGTCACATTCTAACTTGACATCATTTTGTGACTACCCACCTAATCCTATCAAACAGCATTCCTTCCTCAGTGCTCTCAAGACTGAAGGGACATAAAACCCCACGGAGCAAATATAGTGCAAACAACCCAGAAGCAGCTCTCAAGGTTCCTGTGCTTTTCAGATGACCCTAGAAGCATAGAGGTTCTTCCAAGGGCCTTATGAGGAAGAGGAGAGAATAAGACCACCTCCAACTGCTTTCAACCAGCAACCTCCTTAAACCAGCCTCCAGGTGTTTTGGACTACAACTCCCATGAGCCTCAGCCAGAACACAATTAGTTGGCGTTGTAGTCCAAAACGCCCATTCCAGAGCCATAAGAACCAGCCTAAGTCTGTGCTGAGCCATGGACTCACCAACGCAAAAAGTATTTGTAGCTTGCATGGTACAAACAGTAATCGCAACCAACTCTCTTGCAGCATCAGTATGACAACATGTTCAACTTTGCTGGCCATGGGAATGATGCCACTTTGCCTCTTCCTTTATACCAAAATTTGGACAGACTACAGCTCCCTTTTAATCCCCTACGACAGTATCGGTAAGTCACATTTGTACCTTCTCCCACAGCAAACATTCTCTTATCATACATCTTCAGGACTCCATGCAACTGAGTTCTTGCATTGCATGTCGAGACCCCGCAGCCACCCTCTCGTTGGAAATAACTCACACAAGGACACAGATATTAGGTTTATGTTACTGGGCAAATTTTGGCCACAACTTCATTGAATTATAGAATGTGAGCAGTATTGGCTTAGGCATTGATTGGACCTGACTATATCTGACTCCTGCCCATTGTGCAGGAAGTCCAGTAAGGGTAAGCCCAGTAAGGGTAGGGGGAGCCCTGTCGATGCAAACCAACTCAAGCTCCCCCTGGTGTTCCTGTCGGGGTTGTGCCAAGGCCTTAGCCCCCCAGCCGGGCTTCAGACTACATCAACACCTCCGGATTCCTTTAACAGAATACCCTTAAGCATGGAGGGGCAGGTGATGGCCACACCTCCCCTCCCCCACACAAGGTCAAACAATGCCTAACCGCAACCCTAACAAAGTTGTGACGATTGCTACGAGGTAGGCGAAAACCAAGTGGCCAGTGCCAATTTGCCAAGCGGAAAAATTCCTACGAGGCCCCTTGGACAACCAAGGCGACCAACTGAAGACCATAGCAAGGCCATTGCCTAACCTGCAAAATAGGTAGGAGGGCAAGTGATTGAGGAAGCGAGCCAAAGAGGAAGTCCTCTGGCTCGCTCCTCCGTTTAAACGGCCCCGGCCACGCCCCTACAGCCAGCGGATTGGCTGGCCGGGCTCTGACATGGCCGGGATCCCCCAGGCAACGGGGGACAAAGTCCCCCGCCCCCAGTGGGGAGTGGGTGCCCACGCGGTCCACCGCAACTCCTCCCCACTGGGAAGTGGAGCGGATCTAGTGGAAGCCGGCACAGTGAGTCCCATTCGTGCAAGGGGACTTTTGCCCCCTCTCCCCCGAACCTGGTCAGGAGAACCCCCAGAGCAGCACACAGGGCAAGATGGGACACCCAACAAGCATAAATGCTTTGGCTGGTGGAACACTAGCTGTAGCATGACATTGAATTCCACCTTAAGTCCACAATGCCAATGCACCATTGACCTCTACACTCAGAGGTGTAGCGCACCTCTGTACTGCTGAATTTGGTGTTGGTGAGTGTGCTGCTTCATCATTTCCCATTCCCTCACTCCACTTATTTGAGCTTCTAGGGTAGCTTCCTCCTAGGCTCCACAGTCTGTGTTGGCACAATGTAGGATGGTCCCTCACAATAAGGACCAGAGTGTCCCAGGTTTTCGCCCAGGATGTGTCTTACATTTCCAGTGGTGCCCTTATAAGTTCAGTTAAGACAGCATCAATACATGATTCTGTTTTTCATTAAAGGTTTGTGAAATTATTGTGATCACAATTTACATTGTTGTTGTTTTTTCAAAAAACTTTATTGATTTTCCAAAAATTCAAAACAAACAAACAGACAGACATACATACATACATCCTGTTTAAATCTTGGTAACATTATTAAGTGACTTCCTCAAATCCCCTTGGTCATTATCTATCATTTACATTGTTTTTTGAGGGGATGTGTATCTATGTCTCTACATTATCTATCAATCAACATCCTTTGTGGAAATGGAATGATGGTGCCGATAACATTTGAAGTTTAAATGCTCAGTAGAAGCTGGACTGAATACGGCATCTCTACTGGGGGAATGGATATAATCACAATGAGATGTGGAGTTTACAAAAATAAGAAAGCTATGTTTATTGCAGAAAACAAATGTTTGATAGGATGATCCTAGTTCTGTCTAACTAAATCAGAGATGCACTGCTCCATGCTTGCTCTGGCATCTTAGGTGGAGAGAGCTCCACACATGTCTTCTTCTCACAAGGAAGGTATGGAGAAGGAGAAAGTGGGGTCAGGTCAGCAACCCTAATGGTATCAGTCTAATACTGAAGAAAGCTGTCAAAGGGACAGTGCAAGGAGGACAGTCTAGGAAGGCTGAAGTTGGAGACTCCTCTCTACCTTCCATTTCTCATGCAGGTAAAGCAGCCTACAGCGAAAGCAGAGTTGCACCCTGACATTTCCAACAGGTGCAAAAACCTCCACAAAATTTACTTCAATTCTGTGGTGAAATGTGGGGTGCATTTGTAAGGGCTCCCAGGTTTCATGTGGGATGAGATAAAATCAGCAAGAAAAGACAGGTTAAATTTATGTTTTAACTAAACGAACGTGGAATAGCCATTGTGCCAAGAAAACACAAAACAAACTATGTTTCCAAAAGAACATGGAAGATAGGGAGAATTGTGTGACAAGCAAACTATTATAAATAGACAGGTATGTTTATATCAAGAATCCTTTGTATAAGACTGTGATGGAAAGACTGTCTTATGGGCCCCTTAACAGATCCGAAGAACAGGCTGGTAGCCAATGTGACCATTAGCATAGCTTGTGGCCAGTGATATTATTCACATACTTAAAACCAAAAGATCGTGCCCAGACTGTCAAGTTACCATGTACAAAAAATGAATAAATGGGCAAGTTCTGTCCACAGTTTTTGCTAGCAGAAAGTCCAAACAGGTTGGTAACACAGGCATTAGACGTGGAGTGCTGAAGATTGCTACCAACAAATTCAGATGCTCACTTGGATGTGTTCTGCACCAAACATGATATCATAATGCAGCCATAGCAGAAGTTCTGGAAAAAACAAGCAATCTATATAGTTCTGCACATGTGGTGATAAAGCTTCTGGTGAAACTGATCAACCAAGACAGTGTGTTATGGAATCTTCAGTTGCTAAGGAAACTAAACAGGTTGCAGTCCAGCTTCTGTGAGGAGAGGGGAATATGTTAGTGTGACTGGAATTAAAACCTCACCCAGATTCAGGTTGCATATTTGGAACAGGTTCTAGGCTGTAGGGGTGCTTTGGAATTGGAAGGGGTTAGACACAAGGAATGTGGAGTAGCCAAGAGGGAGCATGAAGAAAAGGTAAGTAGAGAATGAGACTTGGAAAAATAAGGAGAGAAAAGAAACAGCTGAGGCAAGGGGCTAAGAAAGCTCCGAAGAAACTTCACAGCACTTGATAGGCATGGGCTGTATATTATAAGAATGAGAAGAGGAATTTTATGGCTGGTTAGGTGATAGGGCGTTGAAAGAAAGAGGAACAATGTAGTCAGTGGCCTGGAAACCAACCAAGAATGTGAGAAACAATGAGTGACGAAAACAAGGGAAGGGAGAAAGGGAGACTGGAAGAAACCTCAAAGGGTCTAGGAAGAAAGTGGGAAGGACTTTGTGGGTGTCAATGGGTTATAGGTTTGCTCGGTGTAGAGTCTAGGTTGTAGTAAGGGAATTCCAGCAGTTGTGGCTTTTGTTTTTAGCAGACCTTTGCAACTGAGCAACTCTGAAGAGGCAATAAGAATGGAGCAATTTCACATATTGGCTACAGCTAACCAGTCAATTCTTTGGGTATCATTTTCTGATCAACATTTGTTGCCTTGGGATCCAAAATTGCCTTCAGATCTATACCATTCTACTACTAAGGCATGCTGTGTGCATGGCACAATAATGGGATGGCCTCCACTTCCAAGAACCAAGAAGCCATATGTTTATTTTTTTCTTCTTCTTCTGAGAAACAAAAAACCCTCGAATGCCACACAACAAGAGAAGCTTTAAACTAGTGCCGACGATAGAAGTAGAACCCCAAAGGCAAAAATCAATGCTTCATAGCATTGTAAAAAAAGAAAAGGTATGCCACAGAATGACAACGATTAACCACAGGAGAAATAAAGCTGTATTTTTGTTATACAGCTGGGTGAACGTGTGCCTTTTTATAGGTTATCAAACACAGAGCCAGCATGGTGCAGCAGGCAGTTGTCAGGACTTTGATCAGCGTCACCGTCTCAGGCATGGCAATCCCTGGGTGACCCTGTTAAGGCAATCCCTCGCTCTGTCATCCACAGGAAAATCCCCACCTACACAGCCATGAGCTTCCTGAATGAGATAATTGATTAATATTTGATCCTTCAAGGTAGAAAAGACAACTATGTGTGAGAAAGCATGGGAACTGAAATAAAGAGCACAGGGAGCTGCCTTATGCAGAATCCGACCATTGTTCCATGCCAGAGTTCCACCTGACATTGGGGATGTGCATGACATCACATGTGTGACACATCATGCGTGTCGGGAAGAGACCATGAGGAGGCCCAGCCCCTCAGGATTGATAGGGCTCAGCCCTATTGCCACATACTTTGGGGGTGAGGTGTCCCCAGCCCCACAGAGTTGGAGCCTATTCTCCATGCAGCTCAGTATTGTCTACACAGATTGGCAGTGACTCTCCCAGGTTTAAGGCAAGGAGTATTTCTCAGTCCTACATGAAGATGCCAGGGACCTTCTGACGTTTAGAAGACATCTGAAGGCAGCCCTGTTTAGGGATGTTTTTAATGACTGACATTTTAATGTATTTTTAATCTCTTGTTAGAAGCCGCCCAGAGTGGCTGGGGGAACCCAGCCAGATGGGCGAGGTATAAGTAATAAATTGTTATATTATTATTATATATTGACCCCTTCCCCAGACTTGCATTTTCAAAAGATCGCATCGTTTGGACCTCACCCTTCTCAAGCAAAGAGTTCTGTGCCCAACCTGTCCTCTTCTCCTTCCAGGCATTTCACTGGTAGCACTTGTCATTCCCGCTTCGCTCGGAATATTTTTTAAGCATCGATGGCCCGCAAAAGCTAAAATCGTACTCAAGGTAAGGTGTGACATTCCCCAAATGCATATCCAAAAGCTACCCAGAAATGTCAAGGTGTACTGACCTTCTCTTTCCTCCCTCAGATTGGTTCCATTGGTGGTGCCGTTCTCATAGTGCTCATAGCTGTGGTTGGAGGGATATTGTACCAGGGCTCCTGGACCATCACTCCTGCACTCTGGATTATCGGAACCATCTTCCCATTTGCTGGCTATTCGGTGGGATTTTTTCTGGCTCGCATAGCTGGCCAGTCCTGGCACAGGTAAGGCTCCAGAATACAAGAAAGGAACAGCTTCTATTTCCTTCAGGCTTGATGTATACACACACGTTGGAGTAATGCTTGCAAATGCACCACAACAGTTTTGGAACGCTCCAAACATGTTGCAGAACATCTCGTTTTTTGCCATTTTCCGACACACAGCTCTTCTGCAGCTACAAAGCTATAAGAAATACTTTTGTAAAGTTGTTCCTCAGCGTCCCCACTGTGGCAACATTTCGCAAGCTGTGCCCAATCCACTTATCTGGTGCTGTGCACAAGCAAATTTGTCTTCTCATTTCCTGGGAGCTGACTAATGGCTTCAACACAGAGAGGTGACCGGCAAGTCCCTCAGTGATTACCCAAAGGACGTCCCATTAGTTTGTGCTGTAGAACAGAGATTTGCAAAGGCCAGTCAAGTTGAGAAGGCACATCAGGGACTGAAATACATGCATGGACAGACAGCACCCTGTTTTAAAGGCCTCAATATGCATACAGGTCCGAGCAGCCGCAAGGTACCTGAGTGGAATGGCAATATAAGATGCACTTCGCAGCAGAGTCAGGAAGGTCACTTACTGCTATATCTGCAAATTTAATGTCTCGGTCTTTCTCCCTGTTTTGCAATGTACACTGACACAAAATACATTGATGCAGTAGGATACTAGTCACACATTCATGCATCATGTAATTGACTCTGGATCAGCTCAAGGTGAAGCCGCCCAGGGCCAATTTCAAGGTGTGCATTCAGAATGCAAGTGAGCAATTTTAGGTGAGGTTGCTCAGCAGGGAAGTTCACACCGATTCTTAAAGAACCCACTGTCCGCCGTTCAAACTATTTCCATCTTGCCCTTGGTCAAGTGCAGGGGGAGCTAACATGGCGCTCTCCAAGTGTTGATGAGATTACAATTGCCAGCAAGCATTGTCCATGATCTGGGTCCTGGGATGTTGCATGTTGTCGTCCAACAATCTCTGGAAGGCATACAGATTGGCTGTCCCTGGTCAAATGACTGGAGAAATATCCAGTGCCTTCCTTGCTCACTTTGCCAGCCTTCCTATTATTCCAGCCATATCGTTGAGCCCTTGGGTACGGAGTTAAGAGAATGGGAGCGCAATCCTATGCATGCTAACTTGGGATCGAACCCCACTGATTTCAGTGGGTCTCACTGCCCAATATGCACCCAAAGCATGTCATCCTGAGATTTCCAGCAGTGGAAATCTACCTAGTGTATTGCAAACTGAGTAGGCCTACTTTTGCACCACCTTTTTCAAGTGTATACTGTGTGAAATCTCTGGTTTGGTGTGGCCACGTGCAGATTAATGAAAAAATGTAGCCCATAAACATAATAGCAATGCAGGCAAGCCAGGCCTATTGTTTAAACATATAACATGAGGACAATATCTTAAGCGTGTATGTCTTTTTAAAATTTATTGTATAGCCCTAGGTAAATTTAAGCATTTTATTTAAAAACAACAACAACATGATGATGATACTGCCAGTTCAGAGCTGCTCCCAGCCTACCCAATCATTGCTCATATTTATTTAAAAATTTTATATACCGCTAAATGGGAAGAAAACCTCTCAGCAGAGGTGCTATTGGCTGTCACACTATCAGGAACACAGTGCTTTTTCAATGTGTACATCACATTATGTTCTGTCAGCACTAATGTGTGCGACATAGTCAGGTCACATTCATTATAACCCTTGTGGAAGGTACCTTTTTATGACCTCGCTTATTTTTCTTAATTGATCTTTTAATTAGCTTTGAAATGCTTTTCAAGCTATATATTTTCATGAAAAAAATATAATGTTGTAAAGTTATGGTTCTATAACACAAGTAGACCATGGTGGTGTTGTTGTAGCGACATGGCTAAGTTGTTTTAAAAAGCTTTTTAAAAAATGGATAAGCCAAACATATTATACCTTTATGACTTTATAGTATATAATCGCTCTTTCATTAAAGAGAAATTATTTTAGTGCTCATTAAAATGTTAATGTAAGGAATAGATCAATGGGACCATCAAGAAGTGCTTACCGCAGAGATTGTAATCAATATATGCTAAGCTTTGATAAGTTTACTATCTCAGTAGGGCACAACCTGTTAAAACCTTATAACCTTATAAAGGCGGTGCTAAAGGCATCTATACCTGTTGAGATTCTTGTATACAGTGGTACCTTGGGTTACATACGCTTCAGGTTACAGACTCCACTAACCCAGAAATAGTACCTCGGGTTAAGAACTTTGCTTCAGGATGAGAACAGAAATCACGCAGCGGCAGCACAGCAGGAGGCCACACTAGCTAAAGTGGTGCTTCAGGTTAAGAACAGTTTCAGGTTAAAAACAGACCTCCAGAACGAATTAAGTACTTAACCCAAGGTACCACTGTATATACAAGAAGCGAAGTTACAGGGAAGCAGGCAGAGGGCGTTCTTGGTAATGGCACCCTCCCTGTGGAACGCCCTCCCAGCAGATGTCAAGGAGATAAAGAACTACATAACTTTTAGAAGACATCTGAAGGCAGCCGTGTATCAGGAAGTTTTTAACGTTTGATGTTTTATTATATATCCTGTTAGCCGCCCAGAGTGGCTGGGGAAACCCAGCCAGATGGGCGGGATATAAATGATAAAATTATTATTATTATTATTATTATTATTATTATTATTATTATTAGATGAGAATGTTTGGATGATGGCGTTGTGCAGATTCACCATAAAGAGAGAGTGAATGAGATGTGGTGATTTCACAGTAAAATCTTAGTGTGGGGTGTGAAAGCACCCTAAGTCTCTTTATGTGATTGTGTGTGTGATTTTTTAATAATGTCGTTTCTTTTAGGTGTCGTACTGTAGCTCTGGAAACGGGGATGCAGAATACTCAGCTCGCTTCCACCATAGTACAGCTCTCATTCAGCCCAGAACAATTGGAGCTGATGTTTACTTTCCCACTCATCTACAGTATTTTCCAGCTAATACTTGCAGCAATGTTTTTGGGAGGTAAGCCACCCTATGTACACCCCACTTTTTATCAATTTGCATTAGAACAAGGGTTTTTACTCTGTTTATATATATATATATACGATAACCAAACAGAACAAGAAACTCTGACTTGGTCAATACTGCTCATAAATGAATTAACAAATCCAAGAATCATTAAGGTTGCAAACTGTACAAGTAAATTGCCTTGTGCTCCCCATTCCCCAACCCATATAAATAAGAGGCCTGTATAATCGGTTTGGATCAAAACAGGCCACAACTCTATTGAATACAGATGAAAGATGTTTGGCTTGGGCATGGGGCAATTGAAATACTTCCGGCCTGCCCGCATAGGTCAATCCAGGCGGGGGTTCGTAAGATTTACATCAAACAGGGTCACCCCCACAGGGGCCACCGTCTGGCCCTGGCCCCGCGTGTGCATGTGGACATGACCACTCTCCCCATATCCCTTTAACGGGATACCCCAGCCTTTGGAAGGGCAGGCAGAGAATACAACCTCCCCTCCATCCAAGACAAAGGATCGCCCCAAAAGGGGTGAGCAGACTTGGCTGCCAATCCAGTCGCAACCTTTGCTGTTGTCCAACAACGTAAGCAGAATATGCTACCTGGCTCAGCTCAAACATCATGCTAAAACACGGATAGTAAAGCTTAACCGTTTGGTGCAGTGTCTGAATTGGCAAATCAGCCAGCAAATCGGAATCAGAAACCACGATTAGCAAACCATTGTTGCAGGTGTGGCTCCAGCTTCGAAGGCCACTGCACCTAGGAAGAGAGCAAACAGAAATAAAAGGCTAACAAACTGCTCTAAACCATTACATGGAAACTCACAAAGTTTTGCGCGTTGACTTCAACAAGGCCTTCCACCTCCTGCCTTGGCCGTAATTTCATCTCAAGACTAGTGTTCATGATTTATTGTTCATCTCTCAGGGGTGGCTATTGAGCCATACAGCAGCCACATATACCCAGTATTGTTCAATTCCCTTCCAGTCTACAACTCTCTGGGTTGTGCAAATGAGACCTTAAGTTGTGCGCAGTGTATCATCTTAATCACTCATCTTCACCATGCATTTAAAGCAGTATCCTGCCACTTTAAATAGCCATGGCTTTCCCCAAAGAATCCTGAGAACTGTAGTTCGCTAAGCTGCTGAGAGTTGTTTGGAGACCCCAGAGCTACAATCTCTGGGAAGAGAGGTTGGCTGTTAAGCACTCCTCAGCAACAGCAAGCAATACCAGCCTTAAGGACGCGGGTGGCGCTGTGGGTTAAACCACAGAGCCTAGGACTTGCCGATCAGAAGGTCGGCGGTTTGAATCCCCACGACGGGGTGAGCTCCCATTGCTCGGTCCCTGCTCCTGCCAACCTAGCAGTTCGAAAGCACCCCAAAAAAGTGCAAGTAGATAAATAGGTACCGCTCCGGCGAGAAGGTAAACGGCATTTCCGTGCGCTGCTCTGGTTCACCAGAAACGGCTTAGTCATGCTGGCCACATGACCCAGAAGCTGTACACCGGCTCCCTCGGCCAATAAAGCGAGATGAGCGCCGCAACCCCAGAGTCGGTCATGACTGGACCTAATGGTCAGGGGTCCCTTTACCCTTTACCTTTACCAGCCTTAACAACAACACTGCACTATTAGCTATATCTTCTCAGAAGAAAGTCCCATTTAGTTCAGTGGGGCTTACTCATGGGTAAGCGGGTACCAGATCACAGCCCAGCTCTTCCTTGATACACCAGGTTCGGTTAAGTGCTGAAATGCTTTCAATCCTGTCTATTATGACCTTTGACATGTCGTGCCAATGTTGTCAGTCTACCAGGTGCACAAAAGGTATTTTGCTGGTCCAGACTCAACCGGCGAGGAGAACGAACCTGAATCAACGCAGGAGCCAACACACAATACGATGAATGGAGGATTTACTTTGGAGGAGGGAGGAGGAGGAGAGAAGCATGTGTCAGCAACTCCCAATGGAAGAGTATAGCCTTGTGCAGGCTGGCTGAAGGCAGGCTGGGAGAGATACATTGGACTGTGGTGGACAAGCCCCTCTTGAGATGGCCATGCTGTATGGTCTGTACTCCCTCCATGCGGAGTAAAAGTGTAAATATGTGAATAGACCATATTTCTTAAAGCTACAACAGTTCCACCCCATCTTCAATTCTCCAAAGGAGCACAGACCCTGAATGGGGACCAAGACACCTGGAATTCCATGCACGGCTTGGCAGGGATTAGGGTGTCCAATAACACTATTTAGAAATACATACATACATACATACATACATACATACATTAAATAAGTGGCTAACTATTTAATGCTCTCCTATGGCTTTAGATTATAAATACCATTAAATCTAAAATCAGTTGGTTAGAGCATCATGCTGATAATGCCAAGGTTGCAGGTTTGATCCCCTTATGGGGCAGCTGCACTGCAGGGAACAGGACTAGCTGATCCTCAGGGTCCCTTCCAACGCTACAATTTATGGCTTGGTTATCATTAATCACCACATAATGATTTCTGTCAAAGAGTTGTCGACAGAAAATGTTCAGTCCACCATCTCCTCCCCGGAAGTCACAATCAATGAGAGTTTCATAGGGAGTAAGAGGTTATTAAGACCTTTCATGCATGCACCTACAAAGTAGTCTGGCCAGCGTGAACACAGAAGAACTGGGAAATGATGCTTGATGCAGCTGATCATTACAGGGCAGACAAATTCATATTCTGAACCGTTATCATCAACAACAACAACAACATGGGTTTATGAATCACTATCTAAACAACTATCACTAACAACTTCAGCAATGCTCCTCTCTCAAATTAAGCCCTGAATTCCCTAAACTTTTAAAGTTGAGGCACATTGCTTTAGCTTTGTGTGCTTTAACCCACTTCACAGATTGGTTACAGGTGGTCCATTCTAAGCAAAGAATGGTGGATAATCCCTCCAGTCCAAATTCATTGTTTCCAAATCATAGCAGCCAACTCCTAGAAGCCAAGATCCCTTGGCCCCCCAATAAATTATTTGAGGGGGCTCGTCTCCCCAAAGTTGATAGGCACTGCCATTCAAATGGATATGCAGACACCGCCGCATCTTGTGTTTACCTTGGCTCCCTCAATATTTTATTCAAGTTGACACCTCTGATTCAAAACCAATGCTGCTTTTTCCAGGGAGAAAAATTGTCTACTGTTTGTGGAATGCTCTCCCCATGGAAGTTTGTCTGGTGCCTTCATTGTACAGTTATATGCATCAGGCAAAAGAGTTCCTCTTCAACCAAGCCTTTGGCTGATGAACAGTCTATGACCTTTTAAATGTGTTTATGGGGGGGGTTAATGGTTTGTTTTGTTCTTGTTTTTATTATGTACTTTGTGGTTTTATTTTGTATTTTTATGCTGTAAATCTCTCCGAGATCTTTCTATAAAGGGCAGTCTATAAATTTAATAAAGAAATAAATATAAATAAATAAATACTATAGACAGAGGACTATTTGCGTCAAAGATTCTTAGCCAAAGCTCTAGCACATGAAAAAGATCAATTAACCCACTTCTGGGTGCTGTGATTTAATGTGGCAACGTTATTGCTCTGCATTTTCTATTTAAAATATGCATTTGGCAAGCACAGCTTAAATGACGAATTCTAAGCAGCAAGCATGCTATTTTCCACGATTCAGGGGAAAAGAATGTGCCAAAAGCGGAGCAAAGAATGAGTTGCCGTTGTGGGACAGATGTTGAAAAAGAAATGCCATATTCTGCACCATATGCCAAAGTGTGGAGAAACTCTTTCGCCACATGAGTGCACAGCACTTTGCAGAATTTGCTCCCTTAAATCATCCATAGCATTGCATGTCTCAGAGCAACTGTCCTAGTAAGACAATGCCTGCTGTGTACAACCCTGAAAAAATTAAACATGGTGACTAAGACTGCAATCCTTTGCACACTTGCTCGGAAATGCCTTATGATGTACAAATTCAGACTTCTTACTTCCAAATAAACATGAGGAGAACTGGGAGGCATGCCCCACAGAAAACAGTGGAATTGGATTTACAGTCCAACCTAAGCATGACTACTTAAAGCAATGACCTGAATCTCTTGTACAGAGATGGGGAAACAGTGGCCGGCCAGATCCATTTCCCATCAGCCTCTGCCAGCCTGACCAACAGTCAGTGATGATGGGAGCTGTAGCCTATCAACATCTGAAGAAGCACAGGTTCTCCATGCCATGCCTTGCCCGTGTGTGTGTGTGTGTGTGTGTGTGTGATCTTCATGGCGACCCTCTGGTTTCCTATTGGTGAAAACAAACCTTTGCTGGATTGATGTGCCTGCCCCCTAAACCTAACATTCCAAAAGTAATTTAGCAGGTGTGGTAACTGGTTCTTGCATATTCTAGTCTCCATCACCAAAACAAAAAGGTCCACACTACAGGTTCCGTGTGAGAAAGCTGCAAACAGGTGTTCAATTCTAGTACAGTTGAAGGAGATATGCACTGTTGCCTAAAACACACACATAATGTCACTTTCAACTCTTTGGGCAAAAATAAACCAAGCTACAATGCGTGTCCAGCCTGAAGTTGCTCCTTTTTTCTTTTACTCATCCATACTGTCATTTAACGTTAATAGCAAGCTTCCTGTGCTTCTCTGTTGTCCAAATGGTGTTAATTCTCCATTAATTCTCCATTGTCCTAATGGCGTTTTCCTCCAAATTGTTGCCATCCCACACTTTTTCCTCCCTCAGTCTGGATTTTGTGAGTTGAAGCCCCGCTCTCCGCTTGGTGATGAAATAAGACACATGGACACAAGTATTTAGGTTAATGGGCTTAAAAAGGCCACAACTTTATTGGTTACAGAATGTGAGTGGTATTGGCTTAGGCCAGGGGTCCACAACGGTTTTTGAGGCCGGGCCGGTCCACTCCTCAGCAGACCTCTCGGTGGGCCGGAGTGTGTGTGCCCGTGCGCACACGCTATTTCCGGTGCACTTTCAGGACAGAGGAGTGCCCGTGTGCATGCACACATGCTCTTCCGACCCGGAAGTCGGTCCCTGCGACGAGAAAAAAATTGGTGCCACAGGGGGGAAAGCACAGAATCCCCACGCCGATCCATGGAACTGGCCCATGGGCCTTAGGTTGCTGACCTCTGGCTGAGACATTGGATCCGAACAGACTATACTTGACTCCTGCCCGCTCTGCAGGGAGTCACACAAGGGTTAACAACCTGTAGAGGGAGCTTGTTGATGCAAATCAACTGGAAGCTTTCCCCTAAAGTTACCAGAGGGTCCTGTCATGGCCCTAGCCACCACCTGCGCATCGGACAGGAACCACGACCGCCGGATTTCTTTAACGAAATACCCTTCAAGGGGAGGGGTAGGTGATGGCCACAACCTCCCCTCCAACACACAACACATTTTCCAGTGCCTAACCACCAAACCTTACAAAGTTGTGACGATTTGCTATGAGGTAGTGGCTGGTGCCAATCTGCCAAGTGGAAAAAATTCCTACCAGGCCCCTTGGACAACCAAGGCGACCAACCGAAGTCCATAGCAAGGTCAGGAGCTGAAGCAAAACCTAGAGGGAGGGCGGGTGGGTAATCCGTGGAAGCCAGAAAAGCAAGGGAGAGCTCGTGGGCCCGCGGCCGTTTAAATCCAGCTAAGCCACACACACCCAGCCAGCCGGATTGACTGGCTGAGGGGCGTGTCGCGGGCCCAGGGCTCCAGTGGTGCAGGAGGCCTAGCCACGCCCCCTGCGAGCGTGGGAAGCAATTCCCGCTCACAACCCCTCCCCTCTGGGAAGAGGAGAGGCTTTCTCACACCATGGATACTTGGGAAAAGGAGAGGGTATGAGGCCACACTGAGAAAGTAAATATTTTCTCTGTAGGCAGAGCTAATGAGGCAGGAGTGTCACCAGACACTCCCATTAAGAACGTTTTAAAAGAAAAGTACCAATGCAATTCAGTGCATTTGTGCTCAAGTGGAAATCTCACTAACATAGGTGCTGACTCCTAGGGGCTGAGGCAGATTCGGCCTCCCAATTTATTTATTTATTTTTTGAAGGAAGAAGAAGAAAAAGAAGAAGAAGAAGAAGAAGAAGAAGAAGAAGAAGAAGAAGAAGAAGAAGATAATTTATTTATACCCTGCCCATCTGGTTGGGTTTCCCCAGCCACTCTGGGCGGCTTCCAACAAAATATTAAAATACAATGGTCTGTTAAACATTAAAAGCTTCCCTAAACAAGGCTGCCTTCAGGTGTCTTATAAAAGTCTGATAGCTGTTTTTCTCTTTGACATCTGGTGGGAGGGAGTTCCACAGGGCGGGTGCCACTGCCAAGAAGGCCCTCTGCCTGGTTCCCTGTAACTTGGCTTCTCACAGCGAGGGAACCGCCAGGAGGCCCTCGGCGCTGGACCTCAATGTCTGGGCATAACGATGGGGGTGAAGACGTTCCTTCAGGTATACTGAACCGAGGCTGTCATGCACTTGGGCCAGTATGAAGGGCCCGGCCCCCTCATTTTTCAGAGGGTGTTTGGCTCTGCCCCCTGGCTCCCCACACTGTCGAGTGCATGACATCACATTGGGGGGGCCCATGCCTCTTGAGAAGCTCTCCTATCTTCAGTGGAGCTTACTCCCTGCATAAGAGTACAATGGTAACTTCCATTAACTACAGTGAAGAATTTCCAGAGCTGGCGAATGTTTCTTGCCTCCATTTTATGTTTTCCAGTCCAGGTGCAGAGAACCTTTGGTCCTTCAGATGTTGTTGAAGCGCAACTACCATCGTCCCTGGGCATTGGCCGTGGTTCTGGGGCTGATGGCAGCTGTAGCTCCACATCTTTGCTTAGCAGAAATCTCAAAAAGAGAGAGATTGTAACCTGATGCAAAGTATGGTTACTCAGAAAGAAGTCTCAGAGTTCAGTGGTACATACAGTATGGTCCATTAAGGCTGCATAGGAAGACAACCAGAAAAAGTCCTCTCATGTGGATGGCTTGAGGGTTAAAAGTAAGAGAATTCCTC